AATAATTCATAATTTCATTTGATAAACACGTTTAGATTGAATGGTAATTTATAATCAGTCACAAGAACGTCGAATCTGAATCACTTGAAAAAAACACGGGGGTGCTTAACTTTTTTCCAGGTGTATAGTTGTTGTTTTTATAGAAACTTGAATTACTGTATTTTCTGTCTAATGCATATTTCACTACATTCAAATGGGGTTTCGTAAGGCCTGATGGTGAGGGCGTTCAACTCGCAATCTGCAGATCACGAGATCGAAATCCAGTGCCGAATATACTCGCCATTTCAGCCATGGGGGCGTTATAAATAGTTGGTTAACCCCACTATTTGTTGGTAGCTAAAGAGTTCGCGGCGGATGCTGCCAGCCTTTGTCTTCCTTGTGGTCAGCAGTTGAAAATTAGAGACAGCTGCAGGTGGTCTTAGCAATTTGCATATAAATAAGAACAAACCACGTGATTTGAAGTTTTTACTTGGATTACGATCATTTGTTTTTTTTTTTTGTTTTTTTTTTTTTTGTCAGAAAAGCTTTGAATGTGATTGTCTCTATATAATCCGCAAAACACGATGGTTTGTATGTAATACATAGAATACGACAGTCAGTTGCATATCTTTCAAATATGAGAGCTTATATTTACATCTTTGCATGATAACTAAACATATAATAATAGTTCTGGCGCGATCTAGTCGGAAGCATTCCGGGCTGCCCTAGAGAAACTCCGAGCTTCGCGCCGTGATGCCGTTGAACATGCTTCACGTTTTCAGCTGTAAGTTTTACAATAAGAGTAAAAGTCAATACCGTTGTTCGTTTCAAAGTCGGATAAAATCCTGATGGAACATAAAAATTGGAATATAACATTTCGTACAAAATGCTTTGAATATACGAATTCGTATAGAATTTGTATGGAATACGAAAGTTAGAATGAATAGTATTGAAATGTGTTACGTTTTATATGAGACGAGTAAGAATGAGATAATTTGTGTAGCCTATTTGGGATATGAGAGAAAAATACGGAGAGATCACATACAAGCAACTGCTCAGACTCGTCAATTTACACTTTTTTAACAACTTTCAAATCAACTTAAAATAAGTATAGGTATGCAAATTTCTTACTTAAACCGACATTTATAACGAGGAAAATATAGATGCAAATTTTGAAATGAAGTTGAATCTTTTTATACTTTTTTCTCGTTCTTTCTGTCCTGGCCCAGCATGGTCAGGTGGTTAGGGAGCTCGATTCGCAATCTGCGGGTTCGAACCCCCGTCCCTTTTAGCCTTGGGGGCGTTATAATGTGACGGTCAATCCTACTATTCGTTGGTAAAAGAGTGGCCCAAGAGTTGGCGGTGGGTGGTGATGACTAGCTGCCTCCCCTCTAGTCTTACACTGCTAAAGTAGGGACAGCTAATGCAGATAGCCCTCGTGTAACAAACAAAAAGAAAGCTGAAGACTGTTTAGTTTTCTAGCCATGGTCCTCCCCCCTCCCCCCGGTCGTTTATCAACTCCCCTTGTGATGTGTACAAACACGCACAATATAGCACATTATTATTTATATCTAGATGAATAAAGTTTTGTGCAGTGTGCATCATCCACATTTATTTGTATAATCTTAGAAATGATATTTCTAGTGATAATACTATACAGTATTATAATGCGTATAATGTATACATATTTTCCCCCTTAGGTACTGCATCTGTAGCTGTAGCTGGAATTCTGGCAAGTTTGAAGATTACGGGATTGAAATTAGCTCAGAATATTTTTTTATTTCAAGGAGCTGGAGAAGTAAGATAGATAGACAGATTAGAATTATTCAATGAAAAAAAAAAAGTACCATAACTAAAAATTATCAGCAGGAATGAAAATCATGGCTCCGATTTCATTTTTCTTTGAATCAAGTTACAAAACTGAACAATTTTTCAATATTTGTATTTCACTTTTTCCCATAACTGTTCTCAAAACTATAACTTATTTTTGGACTTTAGTGTTCGAACAAAGACCGCATTCACAAAACCCCATATTTTAACTGATGATTATTAATTATATAATAATTCTGAAGTAATGACGTATTTAATAACTTCGTTCTACTACAAATACCTGATAATCGTTACGTTACCGAAATAAAAGATGTACCTTTATTAAATAGCAACTGCCACTTATTCAGGAAAAATAATTTTTGGACTTCAAAGTGTTAAATTTTTTGCTAAAAAATACGGAGGTTAGAAGATAAGCCCAATTTAGTGGTGTTAACCTAAATAAATCCATTTTCCTATAAATGCTATCGTTTACCATATATGACTTATCGATAATGTGTTTCTATTTTGATAACCTAATTATGTTTTGCTTCAAGACTTTAGTACTCATTAGTAAAATGGTCAGGTTTTATGAACTTAAGTTTTAATTTAAATTAAAACTTTTCCTACTTTTGGAATAATCTGTTAATTACTTTTATATTTTATCAATTTGAAGCTCATATTTATTATGGCGAAATAGACGTAAAACACAAATATACCATTAGTTTTTTACGTGGTTTTTGTCTTTTTTTTTTTTGCTATTCTATGTTACGAGTAGGTGTAGAAAATTTTAATCCTAGATTAAAGTCTAGCGCAAGATGATAATCTACTTTTTCTTGTAACAAGCTTATAATTTCACTAGGCAGCTCTCGGGACAGCCAATCTTCTGGTTATGGCCATGGAGCAAGATGGCGTTCAGAGCGAAGAAGCTATGAAAAAAATATGGTTGATTGATTCAAAAGGCCTAATAGTTAAGGTACTTTCCTCCATTTTACTTTATGAATCACATATTAAACGTAATTCTCTTCATTTGTTTGCTTCATAGATCTTACACTTAAGATAATTCTCTCTATTAGTTGATTTAATGGGGCCTTTAGTTAATTTTAACCATGTGTTTATTTAATTGGTTTTATGTTTATAATATGGGTTTTACAGTTAAGGCAATTCCCTACATTTGCTTACTTTATGGACCTCACAGTTTAGGTAATTGTCTCTATTTGATTACTTTATTAAAATGTTTTTAGCGTTTTGTTTTATATTAAGCTTTAAATTTTCGGTTTGAACCATGTTTATTTAGGCATTATACTGCTCCAAGCATACACGTGTATCTTATTAAGGCATGCTGCTGTGATATTTTTGAGTTTCAATAAATGCTTTAATATGCAAGGACATGCTTTCCTGAATATTTTGTCAACAGCAGTCAAATTGATCAGTACAAAAGCAGCTGTTATTTCCAATAATCTTGTACATAATAATCCACTGTTGAGGGTAGAACGCTGTGCAGGTATAATTCGTTCATGCAGACGTTACCTGAAACTAAACGTAAAATTATATAATCTAGTCACCATTGAGTAACGTTTTTGAATGAAGAAAAAGATCGTAAAAGGAAATAGAATTCACAAAATAACATAAAATACCTTTAAAATACAAGAGTATTATGAAATCTAGGCTCAATTTGTGATATGCGATAATATGTTAACTTTTTTTTTTTGTAGAAGACCTTTGGTAATGTTCAAAAACTGGTTGGATGTACGTTTGTTTAAATATAAAGTTATCTTCAAAGAACACAGACGATGACCTGTATCGTAAGGAAGTTTTAATGGTGTATATAATTTATTATAGTGAAACGAGAAAGAAAAAATGTAACCTACGAAAGCCACTTGTTTTTTTTTGTTTTTTTAATTTCATGATAATGAATGTGATAATGAATGTGTGTACTAGTGATGTAGCCGTCTTATGTGTGTTGTCCCGAAAATGTTGTGGTTTGTATCATTAGGTTTTAGACGAAAATATACGACAGCAGTCATAAAAATGAAAGCGCAGATAAGAGAGAGAAGAAAATAATTATCACTAAAAAAATGAGACTTACCAGGAGAGATACTTAGTGTTTTCCATAATACTGAAATAAACTCTTCTTTATAGGAAAGTAAATAATGTTTTTTAATGTTACTATTTTATTTTTGAAAGTTTTGAATACTTCCACCTTGTCAAATTTATTTATCCAAAATCAGGATAAAAACTGGAGCCTATATTTATATTTCATGACTTTATAATTAATATGGTACACCTGGTAGTCCTAACTGTCGACATTTTCAAAATATCTTTTGTGTATCAAATAAATATGAACAAGTTTAGATATTCGTACCACTGGATTTTAAAACTGTTTATCACTTTTAACTTAATTTATAATGTAACAAATATTCATAATCCACAATAAAGTTAGACATAGCGAGACTTTTACTTGTCGTTTTTCTGTTTTTGTTTTTAATGTTTTAGCAGCGTAAAATAAAAATCTATTTATATAAATATTACAGTACCATTAGCTACTATTTTAATATCTTTCAGAATCGACCAACAGGTGGCATTACTGAGCACAAGGCCCGTTTCGCCAAAGATTATCAAAACCTCACATCTCTTGAAGAGATTGTAAAATCCATCAAGCCAACAGTTTTGATTGGTGATTCTAAAACTTTCTGTTTTCTTTATAGTGTTGATAAATGACTGTATAAACTTACAACCACTTTTTCAAACAAAAATAGCAATTATTTTTAAATATCATTATCAGTCGTTTTGTGTTTCACTGAGTTATTTGTTCGAACCAATCGTATTCGGATTGGCATTCATAAACCAGTGATTGGCGCATGGAATGTTATATATATATATATATATTTACTTCCTTGAATATCTTTTTATGTTTCAACAATAATTTTATTTGTTGTTTAGTTTATAATATAACATGCTTCAAAAATACTTTCTAAAACCAGCTCAGCCAGAAAACATTATACAATTTTTATATTTGGATCTACACAACCATTGGTGTTTCGAAATAGTTATTAGTTGATACAACTTAATTATATTAAATTATGTTAAGCTAAGTAAACGAGAAGATTATAATTAACATTCACATTTCCTAATTAGAATTGGGCAGGTGATAATTGTGGTCAATTTAGATTTTATTCCTCACGCGTTAAATTTATTTTATTGTTATTCAGAATTACAAAAAAATATTATGATATAATCTCAACTCAAACGAAATATTTTTAGTGTATTTAGTTGACATGACTTTCGTTATTTTATTTTTTTTGCAGGAGCTTCTGCACAAAGAGGGGTTTTCACCGAGAATGTTCTGCAAACTATGGCAAACAATCACAAGCAACCAGTAATATTTGCTTTAAGCAATCCAACAGATAAAGCCGAATGCACTGCCAGTGATGCCTACATTCATACTGAGGTAAAATTAATTTGGATTTTACTGAGACTGTTCGGAAAACTACAGTTAAACAATTATAATCAATCACGAATCTTTGTTTTAAGTAACCTAACAGATAAATCCAACTGCACTGTCAGTGACTTCTACCTTCATATTGAGACAATTAAGATTATTTTTTTAATAAGACTGTTCTGAAAGCTATGGCAAATTATCACTCAACAAGTAATTTTGACTTTAAGTAACGCAACAGATAAAGTTGTGAAAGCTATGGCAAATAATCACTCAACAAGTAATTTTGACTTCAAGTAACGCAACAGATATAGTTGTGAAAGCTATGGCAAATAATCACTCAACAAATAATTTTTGACTTTAAGTAACGCAACAGATATAGTTGTGAAAGCTATGGCAAATAATCACTCAACAAGTAATTTTGACTTTAAGTAACGCAACAGATATAGTTGTGAAAGCTATGGCAAATAATCACTCAACAAGTAATTTTTACTTTAAGTAACGCAACAGATATAGTTGTGAAAGCTATGGCAAACTTAACAAGTAATTTTGACTTTAAGTAACACAACAGATAAAGTTGTGAAAGCTATGGCAAATAATCACTCAACAACTAATTTTGACTTCAAGTAACGCAACAGATATAGTTGTGAAAGCTATGGCAAACTCGACAAGTAATTTTGACTTTAAATAACGCAACAGATATAGTTGTGAAAGCTATGGTAAATAATCACTCAACAAGTAATTTTGACTTTAAGTAACGCAACAGATAAAGTTCTGAAAGCTATGGCAAATAATCACTCAACAAGTAATTTTGACTTTAAGTAACACAATAGATATAGTTGTGAAAGCTATGGCTAATAATCACTCAACAAGTAATTTTGACTTTAAGTAACGCAACAGATAAAGTCGATTGCACTACCATTGCCATCTGCATCCTACACTGAGGTAAATTTAGTTTCCGATAAAAATACTTAACTGTAAAGCACATCGATAAATAGAGTTTGAGAAAGGTAATATAGTGAAGTATACCATAAATATGAGCGAAAATTAAGCAAAATCAAAGTTTGCAAACATATGCAAATACGAAGTTAACTAAGTATTTCACTGCAATGGATTCTTGGGTAAAAACGTTTCACTGTTTTTACTGTAACTTGATGTTGTTATATTTTATTTTATGTATTCATCTTTCAACATTTGAAATATTTTCTAGCCAAATGTCGTGGCAATGTTGTGACAAAACTCAAACGTCACGTGCTCAGGTTAAGTTATAATCAGATCAAGATGTATTGTTCTCCTGGTGTCGTAATGTCGTAGCTGAAATAGCTACTAATTTCAATTATTTCACAATTAGTATAGAATGTATCTTTATTTGGGTATATTCAGATTTTTTTCTAAATTTTCACGCAGTTTTCTTGTGTTGATCGGATGTCGTCAGGTCGTACGCACGTGTTAATCCTTTTACACAGGTAAAGGTAACATGCTGCCACTTAAATTTAAAGTTTACATTTACACGTTTCTTTGTATTAAGGTAACCTACTCGAACAGGTGATACAGAAACCTGTACAAAATGGCTTGTTTTTGAACAAGTTTTTAAAACAATTATCAACAAGTTGTCTTAATACTATTCTAGGCTAGGAATAGAACTCCACAAGTATTTGCTTTATGCTTAGGGTTAAGGTGAGCTGGAGGGAGGTTAAAAGCCACCTCCCTCCTAGCTCGACTAAGCTGCTCTGGAAGGACCTTCTGTACGAGAGACGACGGAAATATGGCACCCCAGATACATAAAAACCTGTAAAAAAAAGTACTTTTAAAACCAGGTAACATTCTGTGACCTGGGTCCGTCGACGGGAGTAGATCACACACACTACAAATATGGTCCTGATAATTATTTATTTTACTTGACCCTGGATTTTCATTCCACGGAATGGAAGGACAAAGTACTAAAGATCTTAAAATGTTTCCACTATATTTTAGGCTTACCTGTTTCCTTAAGGCAGATCCTACATAGGCCTGCCTTCTTCCTTGCCAACAAGACAGAATGGAAAAAACTGTGAAGAGAAAAACACTTAACATTTACATATAGATTGAATGCATGATCATTATCGTTGTTTTTTTTTTTTGTCTCTTTTCTCTTGGTAGTGATTTCTTCTATTCTCTGTATAGACGTTTCGATTTCTCTTCACTCCAGCAGTCACTTAAAACATATTTCTGAAATTTTTTCGTATCGGATACTCTAGATTTATCTGTTGGATATCTGTGCACCTGAATATCCAGTTTACGCATTGCAAAGTGTGACCTGCGCGTTTCTTTTATTCTGTGCCCGCGAGAATGTCAGCTTAAGGTTTCTACGTTGAATATATTCTTGTTGATATAATTATTCTTACAATCACTAGGGACGATGTGTTTTTGCCAGTGGCAGCCCTTTTGAACCTGTAACTATCAATGAAAAGACACATTATCCAGGCCAGGGCAACAATGCATACATCTTCCCAGGGGTGGCATTTGCCATTATGGCTTGTGGTGTGCATTATGTTTCTGACGAAGTTTTTCTCGTTTCTGCAAAGGTGAGTTAACAATTTATATTTGTCGGTAAATTAACTTCGGATTCACAAATGAACCACCGATATTATTGGACAAAATAAATTAGTTTTAGTAGCAAAAAATTAGATAACGATTTTAAGTCTCACACTCACAAAAAAAAAGAAAGAAAAAAGTTAAATTTCGCGCAAAGCCGTCCCTAATTTAGCAGAGGGAAGGCAGCTAGTCATCACCACCCACCGCCAACGAATAGTGGAATTGACCGTCACGTTATAACGCCCCCACGACAGAAAGAGCGAGTATGTTTGGTGTGACGGGGATTCGAACCCGCGACCCTCAGATTACTAGTCGAACATCCTAACCACATGTGAAAAAGAAGTTTCCGAACTACCTCAAACAGGAAACAAATCTTTGTAGTGGAAGTTTGCTAGATTAACTTTTGAATTTGATATTGTGCGTGTCTAGTTTAAGTTGGTAGATATTTACCATAACTTAGAAGAAATAATCAAGATAGTATATTTTTCTCCATTTCTTGTAAATGTGAAATTTATGTCGAAACATAAAAAGAAAAATATATTGTGGCTAAACTAATTATCCGTTTTCTTAGTTTAATCCCCCCCCCCCCGCCCAGTGGCACAGCGGTATTTTTGCGGACTTACAATGCTAGAATCCAGGTTTTGATACCCGTGGTGGGTAGAGCACAGATAGCCCATTGTGTAGCTTTGTGCTTAATCACAAACAAATCTTAGTTTAAATACACGAAAATTTCTTTGTTCTTTAGGGTTAAGGTGAGGAAGTGGGCATTCATTTTAGCAAAGAAAATATTTATATAAAGGTAAATACTTTTGTTGTTGTTTTTTTTTGAAAGGTAGCAAAATATGTTAGCATATAAACATAGATAACTGAGTAAAATCGTGGTCATTGTAACAATGTTTAGATAACCATTAGTTTCGGACTGGGCTGCGGATCGGAAGGTTCATTGTTTGAGCTATGTGCTATGCTTCTGAACACGCCTTGCACATTTATTTCTGGGCACATTGTAAAAATGATGGTAAATCCCGCAATTTAATTAAGAGTAGCCATGTAAGTGGCAGATACTACTGACTTGTTGTCCCTCTGGTCAGTAGGCCTAAATTAGGGACGGTCATTTCTTCACTTTGGTGCCTCTAACCTGGCCATTTATCCCATGTGTTCGCATAAGTTTCAATTCACATTTAAAATATAAAATATCAGTTTGAAATAATTTAACCATGGACATATTTTGCGAATAATTCGATCACTTCTTGTCTTCTTAATTTAAGCAGTCAGTCCATACACACTTTCACATTTACCTTATCTATGATGCTTGGAACTCAAATAAAACGAGTGTGGTGTTTCTAGGCTTTAGCTGACCAGGTTAGGAAGGAACACCTTGCCGAGGGTAGAGTGTATCCTCCACTTAAGAAGATCCACGACGTATCTTTTAATATCGCAATCAAGCTTACTCAGTACTTCTACGCTGAAGACTTCGCGACTCGTCGACCAGAGCCTCATGACAAGATCGCATTTCTACGGTCTAAACAATACAGTCCAGATTGTTGTTAGTTTGATGAAAATATAAGCCCTTAGAACAAGATTATAATTTTTTTAACATTGAATAATTCTGCCTTCAATGCACATTGAAAATTGCTATTCAGTGTAATTTGTTCGCCTCCCACTGAATTAGTATAAGGCTGAGGTACTTTAATTAAAATTGTTAAAAAGATATTCTTCTATGAGGTGAACTATGTGAAATTTTGAATGATCTTAATTAAACCTGAAGTCACGAAAGGAATAAAATTCTTACATATCCTGTGGATATTGTACTTTAATTACAATCGAAATATTTTTTGTTCTCTTGGTGTCTCTATGGAAATCTCGCCCACATAAATCTCTTGCGCGTGACAATCCTCATTAAAGTGTTGCTATGAGGAACATGTGAATTACTGGGTTCTTGTGACAACAATTACAAATGCGATTTAAAAGTTTAGAAAGAACTATCTTAATTTCAGTAATTAAAATTTGTTAAGCATTCTTCACTGTTCTTATATTGATGTTTCTCAAGGGAATGGTTTTGTTTTGCATTAATTACCGAAGTTCCTTATCCCTGGCCAGCTATTCCAAGAAATTTCCAATCATTTTATGTTGTTATTAATATTTTTAGCTAAATAAAATATTTAAACAAAAAGAAAAAGAAAGTTATTGCATTTTTGCATGTCCATTAATATACAAACGTATACTCATAATTCTGTGATAAAAAGGTTGGCCCCCCATATTGAATAAAAATGTTATCTATTTCTCAGGATAGTAAGCTATGCCAGATTAAGTAACATTTATATATTACTAGCTCAAGTACCCGTCAACGTGGACGGGTGAAATAAAACCTTGTTTGTAACAAAGTGTAGGAAATTGTGTTTCTATTTTTGTTCTTAACATAATAAACATTAAAAGTACCATAAAAATACATAAAGGTACCAATACTGAAAAGAAAGGCATACTGTTTTCAAGAATTCTATCAATATTAAGTTATATGGGGGTCCACCCCCCCTCATTACCTTCCTCACATCATCCTGTATCACTGTGTCACGTTTGGTGCTGATTGATCAAGAAATGTGGAAACGTATAAGGAACAGATAGACATACACACGTATTGAATTGTTTTATATAGATACCTTTGAAACGTATAAGGAACAGATACACATACACACGTATTGACTTTTTTTTTATATAGATACCTTTGAAACGTATAAGGAACAGATACACATACACACGTATTGAATTGTTTTATATAGATACCTTTGAAACGTATAAGGAACAGATACACATACACACGTATTGACTTTTTTTTATATATATAACTTTGAAACGTATAAGGAACAGATACACATACACACGTATTGACTTTTTTTTATATAGATACCTTTGAAACGTATAAGGAACAGATACACATACACACATATTGACTTTTTTTATATAGATACCTTTGCAGACAATGGCAGCTACCTTTCTTCAAATGGTATTATGTCTTCTCCCAGTGAAACAACGGTACGTTTACGGACTTAAGACGCTAAAATCAAGGGTTTGATTCCAAGTAAACAAACTACTGGTATTTCACTTAAAAATATGGAGAATTGAATTGTTTAACTACAACGGCCTTTTCAAAGTATTTAAATATGAAATGATAAAATAGTCACTGGAAGTTTCGATTTTTGGTGTTCGGTACACCTATTTTTAAAAATACACAATATATTGTCTCTAGATAAACTAATTCGGTTTCTATGTGTCTATAAACCTTCAGGAGTTACATCTATGTATGTTATCAATATTAGCTGATACAAATTTGAATTTATCACGCCATTTGTTACTGTTTAAAAAATAATACTTGTATACTGAAAATATTTGCATACTTATTCCTCTACATTATTCACATAACTAAACTACACACAATATAGTATCTATTTTACTCCATTGCTTTGTTTTTAAAGAAGATTTAAGTATTACTAAAACAATTTTGTAATTTTAATTATAAGTCATCAAAAGTTTAAAATAGATTATACTCTCTTGTCCTTTTTGTACCACTTATGTGAATTTTTTATTTAAAAGAAACATTTTGGAGTTTATGTGATCATTTGAATTGGTGATGAAGAGAGGAGACAAGCGCAGATACATTTGTTAAGTTTGGATCAATTAGTAAAGATTTTACCTGTCGAAGATATGTCTTACTCTTATAAGTTAAGCTACCTACCAGATCACCAACTTATTACTACCTGTTGAAGATATGTCTTACTATTCTAAATTAAGCTACCTACCAGATCACCAACTTATTACTACCTGTTGAAGATATGTCTTACTCTTCTAAGTTAAGCTACCTACCACATCACCAACTTATTACTACCTGTTGAAGATATGTCTTACTATTCTAAATTAAGAAGTTGGTGATCTGGTAGGTAGCTTAATTTAGGAGAGTAAGACATATCTTCAACAGGTAGTAATAAGTTGGTGATCTGGTAGGTAGATTACTACCTGTTGAAGGCATATCTTACTCTCCTAAATTAAGCTACCTACCAGATCACCAACTTATTACTTTATGCCCTGAACAGAATCACCATTTCATAACCTTAAATTCCTTAACAGGATCACCAGCACATTAGTTTACATTCCTAAGTAGGATTACATACCATTACCTTGCATTCCTGAAGAGGATCACCTAATAGTGTTTTAAATTCATGAACAGGATCATCAATCCATTAACTTACATCATGTGTTGATATCCAGTGAAGTTTGGAGACTACGAAAAACTCTAGCTGATAATAAAAGTTTACATTTGCTAAAAAAAAAAACCTTCCCGATGGATTGCCTAGGAAGTCCATGACTATACAATTTTAAGAGTAGTTCACAATTTTGTGAAATTAAAAATGTTATGGAAAGGATTTCCATTTCATTTCAATAAAATTATAATGAGACCATGATATCGACGTTGGCTAAAGGAGCATTATCAACCAACTTAACGTATGCAGAGGGTTGAGTATATTACATTAAAACGATTTGAGAGCTCCATGGTTTCAGCCCATGTTGCCACGTCTGGCCACTCTTTATCTGACAGCTGTGCATCTTCACAATACCCCCTGCAGTGAAGTTTCCATTACAAAAAGTGGCTCTGTCATAAGACTGTCCAAAGCAAGCCACACCTTCCTGTCGGGTTTCCATAATTCATGTAGTGTACGAGAACTATAGTTTCACAGCACTCATTTTAACAGTATAATCGCACAGAATTCCATCGGTGCTCTATCAAACATCTTGACCAGTATATGTTCATATGGAATAGCAAGAATATTCGCTTCATCCGTCAGCTGCTTGAGATATGCAATGGAAGATATAAATGGAAGCCTATCTAGGAATTTTTTTGAGATGGTGATACTTTTTAATTGTGTTGCATTTTGTTGCCTGGGACACGTAGAAATATTTTGCCACTTACCTTTGTATTCATATATGCTCACCTGTTACAAGACGTCACACTTTGCTTATCATAATTGGGGCATGACTTGTACCAAGTCTCTTTTTTGGATGGTCCTGGTTTCCCAAGTTGATCCCTATTCCTTTATTTTCCAATGTCATTAATTGGTACAAGGGACATCTCTGATGGAAATAATTTTAAATGTCCAATAGGAAGTAGAAAGGTGTGTAAAAGCTAAACCCTTGGAATGTTTTGTTATTTAAGTCTTGGATTAACTTAATCATCAGATTATGCCAGGCCTCTGTCAATCAAACTGGGACGCCATCCATACTGATCTGCCAGTCCTTTTCAACATCTACACCATGGGTCTAACGTACCTTGACATTCTAACCAGATGTTGTGTGCTAACCTTTGCTGATGACACTCTTAAGAAACATAGAAATATTGATTTTTTTAAGGACATTTAGCTTTTGATTTCACATCTATCTCTACCCAAACAGGCATAACTTTTTTTAAGTGAGATGAAAATGTTTATACAATTCCTTATATTAGCAGCAATGTCCAACTGCAAAATTAGGAAGATCATAACAATGCAATGACAAAAAGACTGTTTATATAACTAATGTTCTATACTACACTGGAGAAACGAGAGACTTGCAAAGAATTTCATTCCAGGATCTCAGAAGATTCTATGGCCATAAACCAAGGTAACAACAATGCATGTTAAGGTCATACATCTAGGTAACAAGAATGCATGTTAAGGTCAGAAACCAAGGTAACAACAATGTATGTTTAGGTCAGAAATCATAGTAACAACAATGTATGTTAAGGTCAGAAACCAAGATAACAACAATGTATGTTGAGGTCAGAAACCAAGGTAGCAACAATGCATGTTAAGGTCATAAACCAAGGTAGCAACAATGCATGTTAAGATCAGAAACCAAAGTAACAACAATGTATGTTGTGGTCATAAACCAAGGGAACAACAATGTATATTAAAGTCATAAACCAAGTTACCAACAATGCCTAGCACTTTGGTTGAATATTATTTGATCAAAAATATCTATTGAGTCAGAAGTAAATTTTAACTAAATATTAGAAAGAACTGTTGTTGTTTTTGAATGTTTCACACACGGCTTTATCAGTTGCAGGTGAGTCTGGCGAAACGTTGTGAACAAAATATGGAAACAAAAGTTTTACTCTGTGCAACAGATAAAACCTTGTGTGAGAACTAATTACGATGAAAGTGCTGAAAGTAACAAATACATTCCTGGATAGAAAATATACAGAAGCAGTACTTATAGAAAGACTTAAACCAACAATCAATCAAAATCGGACCACCCAATGGCACAGCGGTATGTCTGCGTAATTATACCATTAGATAGCCCATTTTGTGCTTAAACAATCAAAATTGGGGTTGGTTTACTTAATATTTATTTTTATTATTACTACAAGTCAATATTTCCCTCATTTCGAATTGCTATAATATCGCTCTGTAGTTCTCAACTCTATAAGTTAATATTATTTTTATAACGACAGTTTTTACCTTTATTATTGAAAACCATAGTACTATGCGCAAGCAGATCGCACGTGTAAAGAACTGTTCTTTGTTTAAAATTTATTGTAAAAATAATAATTGATTTCGAGCTGTGTTAGACTAAAAATCCTAAAGAAGACGAAAGCCTAAACGTTGTTAAAAATAATATAAGCAGAGTAGTCGATCTGAAGTTGGTCTTTGAATATGTATTTGAATTTTTCCAAAATATATTTTTATTATTCATGAAGATTTAAATATATCCAACGTTTTAGTTTATTAATTGATAGCCCCCCAGTGGCACAGCGGTATGTCTGCGGAGTTACAACGCTATAATCCGGGTTTCGATACCCGAGGTGGGCAGAGCACAGATAGCCCATCGTGTAGCTTTGTGTTTAATTAAAAAAACTAATTGATAAACTTCTGATATATTTTTTGCCGTTAAGCTACGAAATGAACAATCTTTGCTCTTCCCCTCGCAGATATCGAAACCCGAAAATAGCAGGATTACCACTGAGCCACCAGAGAGCAGTTTGACAAATATGGTAATTCACAGTATAAAGTTGGTGGTGGGTTGTTTTGGACTAGAGTGTGAAAGTTCGTGGCGCATTGCCTCAAAAAGGCGTTCTGCACTTTGAGGCTGTGGCTGCACTATAACAATGCTTGTTTGTTTGTTTTGTTGAATTTCATGCAAAGCTACTTGAGAACTGGATGCGTTAGCCGTCCATAATTTTGAAGTGGTAGACTAGAGGGAAAATAACTAGTCAAAACCACCCAAAACCAATTCGTTGGCTTCTCTTTACCAACAAACACTGGGATCGACCATCACATTATAACACCCCTACTGCTGAAAGGGCAAGCATACTCGGCGACTAGTTTCGATTCCGCGACCCACAAATTGCGAATTGAGTACCTCAACCAACAGACCATGACAGGCCCATACTATTAAATTGAGGGTCAGATCTCATTATTCGGTCAGAGAACAGTCGGTGGTGGGTTGTTTTGATTAGGGACGACTAGCGCAGACAGCCCTCCTGTAGTTCTGCGCAGAATTCAATAAACAAACAAAAACCCTCTAGTCTATCAGCTCATACTTAGGGACAACTATGCTGTGATATTAATCGCCCTTAGACCTTGTGTAGCTTCACGCGAATTTTCGAGAAAAATGAATAATTAAGTCTTTATATCTTATATCAGTAGTCAATGCAAAAAGCATTATCAGTGAGACCCTTAAAATACGTATTGATTTTATTAGTTGTTAAAGTAGTTAAGAAACAATACATATATAAATACAGAGTAGCCGGAGAGCTGGCGGTGGGTGTTGTTGACTAGCTGCATTTCCTCTAATCTATCATTTCAAATTAGGAAAGCCTTTGCGCTGGCATCCCCTTGTGTAACTTTGTGCGAAAATTATAAATTAAAAAATGTTGAGACTATTAGGTACTTAAGGGTTTTCAAAACCTAAAATCCAACTGTTTATCATAAAAAATATATAACGTTATAATTTGTACCTTCGTTGGGTGAGTCTTTTTAAATTATTTTTAGTGAAAAATAATGCAAAGTTCAGTTCACATAACAATAACAAATTAGTTTATTTTTTCCTTAACGTCTACTACAAACTATTTTCACATATATACAGTTGTAGGCCTAAATTCACAAATAACGTTTTCACTTTAAAATAAACTTACTTGTACAATTTCATGGCTAATCGATAAAGTAACTGAATATACGTGATAACGAACACTTATTTGAATACTTCACTAATTTCTCAGTTACTGAAGAAGCTGAAACTCGATCAATGCTTCATTGATTCTTGTATTTATAAGGTATCATTGTTTATAAATACTTTGCAGAATCTCTCGATCATTAACATTTACTAATATTCTAAGTATTCTAGAACTATTTATATAAACATTCTAAACCTAGTATCATCACCATGTTAGCAGCTTCCTCTAGCAAACAACTAAAATAAAATATTGAAATATAGCTTACAAAAAATATATATTTCATCCAAAAGAAACATATCACAAGGATCTCCCTTTAGTTATAGATACCTTAATAAATGTATCTTAGACGACCTCTAGATATTATGATTTATTTCATTGCACTTAATTGTTGTTCACGCAACAACAACAAAGTTGTAAGCTATATTTTTAATTTATTTGTTACCTAGAGGAAGCTATGGGTCGTTGATGGTGTAATATGAGTTAAGATCAAGTTAGTTATAGACATACGTAGAACAAGGGTAGATTTTAAATATGACGTTCCATAAGGCGTCGAGGGTAGAGTTCTTTCGACTTTTGTTTCAAGAATATTGTTACGACAACGGTAGTCACGTGACTCTGGTAACACGTCATGATATTCTAGAAGGATCGGGGAACATCACAAATAATCCAGTATGTGCTAGGCGCCCTCTATTCCTGTATATCAGTACGCCAGATAACGTGAGACAAATTAGTCGGAATTGAATTGCAGACAGGCAGAGATAAGGGTTTGGTATGCCATGCGAACTGCATTCAGATCAAGGCCGTAACTTTGAATCAGCTGTGTTCCATAAATGCTGCAAGTTGTTTGG